CTTAACATCCAACACAATCGTGAAATCGTAGTGTGTGAGTGTGCGCAAATTAACTTTTTCAGTTACCTCTTCACTGACAAACAGAGAGCTTAATTTTCATTAAACACGCCCAGTTCTGTCGTCGACGAAATTGCGTGTAGGAAATAGTAAAACTCGTTATCTAGCAATCAGTGATATAGATTCGTTGTTATTCTTTTTTGCGTCAGCTTACTGTACGTGGGTTACTCAAAGATTCGTGAGTTATCAGAATTAATTTATCTAATGTGATATCGCGTGTACAGCTGATATAATAGGTGTCTTTCATGGCAAATGTGTCAAGTGGGAACTCTCGTGTGACAAGGGTTTTCAGTAGAAAGTAATAAACTCGATTCCATACATTTTAGCTGACTTATGACAGCTATTAAATTTGCAGTCGCACAACGTGACAAGATTAAAATAAAATATTTTGTTAAATTAAACTTTTTTGTTAAAAAAATATATATATGTCCAAGAATAATATTTCTGTTGAAAAATTATAGTGGGAAAATTTCTGTGTTTTAAGTCTTATCACGTTCTATCATACTTCGCCCACTGTAAACTTTTACATTTGAGAAGACTTAGACAGCATTAATTAGTCATGGTTTTGTTCTGGGTATCTAGGTTACCCGTGAAATTGCATAATCATTGTTCTCGTCAGCAAAGTCCAAAGGCACAAGTCGCTAAGGATCAAGGTTGCGATGTTTCTCAATCTAGATGAAGATGAAAGAGATTTTACGGAACGATTCAGTTACAAGCTTAAGTCCCGTCCGTAAATACACTATCAATTCAGATTATTTCTTTCATCTCCGGAATAATCAGTTACGAAGTTTTCCTCTCTTCGCTCTTTCTAGAAAAACTCGCAATTTTAATTCGACGATGCTGAATAACGAAAAAACGAGAGAATTATTTATTTTTAACGCGAGCTTTTTCAGCTAAAAAGAAAGAATCGTAAGGAACACAAATATTCCGTCAAAGATGAGCAGCAATTTTCGTTTCGAAATTTGAATTTTAAAAAATGCAAAGTTAGAAAAATATTACTTATTCTAATTTCACGTTTAATTCATGTCACATAAATTATTTTGAAATAGAATCGCAGTAAAAATATTCCGTCGAAGAGATGAACAACTTTAGTTTCGTCGAAACACAAAAATTAGAGAGAAAAAACACAAAGTCAGATAAATTACTTATTTTACATACACAATTCGTGTCACATAACTTGACTTAATCTTAATGCGAATCTCTCTCCAATACCGTGAGTAATTTTAAATGTCGCGATGTGACTAAGACAATAAGCCTCGATCGGTGAAGTCTTACGAGGACAAGTAACTTTGTCGTCGGTCGGATGTTAACCATCGACTGTTCATGCTGCGGAACTTCTTCCGGCCTGGTCACGTAGGATATTCTCGTCGCGTTTCACTACGTGCTTTGCCATTTCTTTTTGCGATGCAATCTGAACGCAAGTACAACGACAACACGTCGCAGTCTGTTGACCGGAAATCGCGATTGATTTTAATTCTATTGCAGCCCGCGCACACAAGACAAACGTTCGATTATGCGGAAGCTCATGCGGTACAAAAAAACCGAGGCTTCGATTTTTCTACCAACTTACACTATATAACATACACGATTCTCTTGATAAAGCGAACGTCAATTGCGGATCGGTAGCGATATTGTGTGTTCTACCTTTGATATTCTACATCAAAGAAACTTCTAGCTCTGATTCTGACAAAACAATATTGCACAAAATATCCAGGGCGTTTATTTTTTTTCTCACTGTTTTTCTCTCTCTCTCTCTCTCTCTCTCTCTCTCTCTCTCTCTCTCTCTCCTTTACACGTCAGAAAAATAAGTTATCCCGTTCGAAGAAATATTATCAATGTTTTTCCTCTTCCAGCTATTTCATATTGTTTCTGACAGAAAGTACACCCGCGCAATAATTTCGTTTTTCATTTAAAGTGATTGATTCTCTAGATTGATGATACAATATTTTGCGTACATACAACAAGTGAAACGCTCGAATAACTCGTGCATTCAATATTTTCTCAATAATTTGATTTTTTAGTTTGAATACCTTTGTTTTTGCGCAAAACACTCAGTCCGATATTAATTGTTCGACGATTTAAATCAAGGCTAACAAAGGAGATATTTCTTCAGTTTTCGCAAACGCGCATGTAGCGCCATTTCAGATTTACGAGCGCCAACGAGTTTTCACGAGTAATTAGAGTAGCATGACAAGCTCGTTAGCCACATTTCGAGTGTATATAGGTACTGTCACGCTGTCGATTCCTGATCACCTTTCAAAGAAGACGTGAAAGAGAATGAAGTTGGTTCAAACTTTAAGCGATTATCAGAGAACACAGAGAAGTTTCAGCTATAAATTGTACTTTGTAAATCTGTATAAAGTATCTTAAATTATATCCAGATAATTAACTTAATAATATTATAAGAAATTTTATATTACAAGAGAATTTTATATATTGTTTTTATTTGTATCAAATAAAAAAAAAGACGCAGGCGTTTGGAAATATTCTTTTTATACAGACGTCCATAAAATAATAAAAAATGGCGTGTAAAGTTATCCGAGATAACTCGTGATAATCTTACGTAACCAGTTGCCGTGCTCAGACGAACACAATGAGACAACGATACGCCATTTGAATTCGAACCTCAAGGATTTACGTTCGTTAAGACGAGCAGTCGGCCGAAAGGACACGTTCTGTTTTCACTACGTTCACGGCTATTTAAGTACAAAAGCCGCACACAATACCCAGAAAATTCTACGTTTTATGACATACTTACATTTTCTTTTCTTCGTTTTTATCCGATATTTTGTGTTTTATTATGTGTGAGATTTTTTTTACATCAGAGATTTTTTTCGCACTTCATTCGGCTTCTGGAATCTGTTAGCAAGACTCTTTACATATTAACTGAATTTCAACGCGTCAACCTTGTCAACGTGTACCAAGTATCAAAATAACGAGGTAATTACATGTCAGTTGTATATCCGACATCAGTAGTTAGTGGCAACAAATAGGTCAGAACGGCGTTTAAGACGATGTAACAGCGAGTTTAAGAGTTTACTCGCTATTGATTAAGAGAACTAATGATTACGCAGCCTTTTTACGGATAGTTGACATTAAGCAAGCAAATTAATCGTAATGATCGTCATTTTCACATCATGCGAAGTTTGCGTAACTATGCATGAGTAGTTGTGATGCAAAATAATTGACGATGTTAAAATTTATACTTAAAACTTGAGTACAACATGCTCAGGCATCGAAAAAGCGTTATAATTTATAAAGTTTAATTAACTAGAATCATTTTAGTTTGAGAACCTATAAAATATTATTTTAGAATTATAGCTTGTTCTTATCTTGCGCTTTAAGAGGAAAAAAAGCAATCAAAACTTCCTCTTTAAAATCACAATGGCTTTAAAAACACAACAAAAGAATAAAAAAATACCTAGCGCAAACATCAGCATGATTTTCGCCTTGCCTTCGTATGCAAATAAAGTTTGCTAACAAAAAATTCGCGCAGTAGGAACTGTAAATTGGAGCAAGGTGAGCGATTTAATTCCACGATTTGTTCGAAGGACTCTAATAGTTGAAATTATTATTTTAAGACAAGATATTTTTTATTTACTCTAACGCAGAGAGTCATATTTTCTTTTTTAAAATTTAAGTGTGTTTTTTGACATGTCTTTTATTGTAAAATACTTGTCTCACAAAGATACGATTTATTTTGTAATAGTTATCGTACAAACTCGTATGATTATTATACAAATTTATATTAAAGATAGATAGAAATTGGATGTCCTAAATGATCAATCTCATTCCGAAATAATTATTCCTTAATTATTAGGGGAGTTTATATCATTGTTGAAATCTTTCTTCTTTTCATTCGCAATAAAAATAACTTCTTCCAGTTCTCGATAAATAAAAACATAAAACAGGAAATACGTTTAATGATAACAATATAATAACAAGCTACTACTTAATTAGAACTCATTATAGGTGCATCTAAACGTACATTCACTCATTTGAATGTCATAAATCATATCAAACGTTATGCAAAGAAAACGATAACGACGGCGGGAGGTTTAAACCGACTAGCGTTGCACGATAAAAACGCAATATATTTTTCTTTTAACGTGGAAAAAAACAGCTAGAACAATAAATCTCATTTTAAGAGATTACCTTGAAGTAAAGTGACACGTGACACTCTTCTTTTTACGGGACAAGAAAATTTGTCGTTCAATTACAGAGAAAGAAAGGAAAAAAAAAGATGTAGGGAAAAGTCTCTTCACAATTCCATTGTATTATCATGCGTATATTTCCCTCTCGTTTAAACCGGAGACATTTGTTCAGGTTCTTCCCAATACTGGTATTAAATTCACATTCAGATAATATATTCTACCAAACGATGATGATATCACAATTTTCATTTCATGTAATAGGTGAATGCATATCGATATAATCTCACGGTGCAAGTAATGAGTGTGGTTAAGTGGTTTACCTAAATCGCTTATGGAATATTATCTCTGTAAAGCTCTCGCTCTCTCTTTCTCTTTTTAAATGAAAATTTTGGTTTTATTTAAAGTTCTAAAATGAAATTAACTGATGAGTAAAATTTTTTACGTTTCTCAATTGCAGTAAATTAAAAAATTAATTAATAGCACTTTACAAATTTGCTTGATTTTCAAAACTAGAAAATTACATCACATCACATAACTTTTTACTCGCGTTTTCATGGCGCTTGTACTAAGCGACAGTGACTTCCAATTCGCTCGGCTATTTGCAGACTCGGTGAAAGCGCGCGACTTCTGAGAGATGCAGCCTGCGTAATGCAAAATATATGTATATACGCTAATTACGACGCACAGTATATATTGTTACCCGGTAGAAACCTGTCACAGCGTATGATTTTATTATGATTGCGTTTCCGTATGATTTAGGCTTGTTGCCACGCAATTTTTTAATTACAGAGAGGGCAGTCGCTACGACTCCCACTCGGCACAATCGACGCAGGACCGCAGGAAGCTGCTGAAACGCACGAAAAGCCTTGCAGTGATATCCGAAGACGAGTCCCGTCAGGATCGAGAGGCGGCGCATCACTTTCGACTCGGCCAATCGACCTTCGATCTGCCGAGAAAGCATCAATTGATACCGAGAGCCAAGCTGATAGATCGTAATTCCCTCAAGGGCAGGTGAGTCAATATTAAGTATGAAAAATAAATTCGATCGTAAGTCGTTCTTAACCTCGCTACTTTTTGATTAAACAAACCACATTAGCTTTCCAGAGAAAATAAGAAAATAACGAAAGTTCGTTCTCCAGATTGTGTTCTATTTAACATCTGCCTTAGACAAGGCGGTCGTATGAATTGTTGAACTAGGTCGTACATTAATTAATTAATTTGACGGCTGTTCACTACAAAGTACGTGAGAGGTGTTCCATTCTAACAAATGAAGATCTGTACTAAACGCAGAGGATCTTTCTCGCTTTACATCGGTTTCATCGTATTCATAAAAAGAGCAGATAATTATACTAAATAAGCAATGTTTATGAACCATTATCTCGACAAGATAATAAAAAAGTGCTGACCATTAACAACGACAATTATGGCGATCTTTAAGGAGTTTCGCGACGAATTTGATCTCCCGGTCGTAAATTTGCATTATACGAATTAATCAGTCGATTATCGGCGGCAACCGATCGGTCAAGCGCGACGAAGCACTCAAACGACTTAAAGTTTTCTCATAGCGACGCAAAAAACTTCACGACGAAACTTTGCTTAAATAAAATGCCCCAAGCTGCGATATCGATTTTACGGAATCCAAACGAACTATGGTCAAACTCACAGATTGACGTGAAAAACTTTCTTGTTTCCATCATCTTTTTACGCTGAGAGCGATTTAATTCGTTGCACAGTCGCTCGCACTATCGGAGAGAAAAAATAATCACCACGTCCAAAATTAAGTTTTATGCAAAACGTGGAACATCAAAGTGACTGAACTTTTGTGAAGCAAAAATTATCTCGCGAGATAAGAAAACTGAAAAAAATTTCCGCGTTGTTACATGTACGCACACTAACTATAAAAAAATGAAACATGCTTTTATGTTGCGCTGATGTAAAGTAAAAAGTGTTGAAAAATTTCTATTTGCTCTCTTTCGTTCTAACACATTTTGGTCTACATTTTACATTTTTGAGATTAACAAATGTGGAATTTATTCCACGTGCGAATTTGATAAAGCAATTTTGCACTTTGCTTGTTTCAGACTCTCCAAGAGTCAGCAGCATCTTTCCGACTCTTACGAGAGATTCAACGAAACCAAATCTTATCACTCGCGGTCGACGTGCGGTCTTCACTCAATTCCTGGTCTCGTGTCTCTCCCAGACCCGCTACCTTACACTCGAGGAAATCGCGCCGATCCCGATCGGCTGAATATCCTCGACTGGCCGGATCCTCCAAGACGATATCGCAGCGTACAAAACTTAGATACCGTAAGCGGATTGGTAGACATCGTCGAGGACAATTGGCCCATTGAAGGCAATCGAAGTATCGACTGTATATATACACAGGTGAAACATTTTTTTCTCAATAAAGAAAGATCTCTTAAATAATAAAGCTATTAATTTACGTGTGGCACAAGCTTTCCGTTTCCATTTGTTACCGATGTAAAATGTTGATGAAAAACAATTGTTTAATCAATCATAACGCGCGCTGTATTATTGAAAATAACGCTCGCATATTGAAAATAATATGTCGCGTTTAATTAAACTGTTGGTTTTGTAACAATGTACACAATGCAAATATAATTTGCGATGCAATAATATATAACGTACCAACGATTGCTGTAATGAAATTTTAACATAATTATTATTTTGATCCAAGTTGACTCGATGGTGTTGACGTATCATCTTTGAAATTAGTTAGTCCAGAATTATGCAATATGCCGACATGATTAACAAGTTTGTTGATAATTCCTCGCTAACACTAATTAAAACAATAGAGATCACGTCTTCGCTAAGTTTCCTGGTCTCATCGTTATATTTAGCAGCAGCTTGATTAAATTTCAACTGGTCGTAAGTTCTAAATTTGTGCTCTACATCTAAAAGCAAGATACATTTTGAAGAGCTTCTTGAAACCAAAATAAACAGACAAAGTTATACAAAAGAAACTTCATTTAACGGCAAAGAAAAAATTTGAAGTGCAAAAAGACAATGAATAATATCAGAATCTCAAATGTCACTGAATACATTTTATAACTACTTTTGCGTAAACAACGTGTTTAAAAATTTATAAGACACTTGTCGATACACGCTTTTAAAGCATTTTCTTATTCAGGTAAAGCGCAAGCGTAAGGAGCACAGAAGCTTGGATAGTATTCTCTTCGAAGACGACGCGGAGCTAGAATACTTCGATGTACTAAATTTACTGCCTCTCTCTAACATACGCCTAGAATACGATAGGGCAAACTCGTCGAGGGATGATAATTGTGCGCAAAATAAGGAGCGAGCGCATGTTCTGAGAGATTTAAGAGCACTCGAGTACAACGAGCCGAGCAGCGCAAACGAAGAGACTTCGCCGTCGAGAAGCGGCAACGCGACGGACGAGGAGAAATGCAAAGAACACACAACGAAAGAGAATAATTCCGCTCGAATAGACAGCGATCCTATACAGGACTTCTGCCAGGACCTCGATTCACCTAAGAGAACCAGCTCCAACCGGCAAGGCTTGGCGGAGCGAAAGCGCCGAGAATTCGACGAGAGTTCTGAGGAAGACTCGGAGATTAGCTCGGCGAACAAGTTCGTGGATCAACGTGCTTCTTCTTCTTCCTCTTCCTCTTCCCCCTCGTCCAAAACCGGTCAGGACCAGCAAGGATCTGCCGATGTCGAACGTTTCATGAATCTTTGCGAGGTGGATCGCAAGATCGAGGAGGTAGAGGACTACAAGTCGATTTGGATCTCGGGTAAGAGCCAGGACGAGATGTCTCGAAGGCCGCAAATCCTCAAGGTTGTCGATAATGACGTCACCAGAAGACGTCATCGACGTTCGGTCGTGGAAATCGATGCAATCGTCGAGGACGTGCCAAGGGATAAGAGACCGCAGGAAATTGCAAAGAGAGCAAACGAGCGCGTGGATGCATCCGTGATAAAGTTAAATAATGCAAACAATGAAGACGAAACTCATGGGAAAAGTGTGCAGGTCAGTGCGGAATAAATTATGTGTATTATATGAGAGAGTTTTCTTGTTGTTATTGTTTTTTCTATTTAAGTATATTGAGTAAGTTTTGTGGAATACTAAAACTTCTAACAAATTTTGATTTTAAGTGACAAGAGTTTCATTACCATATAATGAAAGGTAGGATCAATAAAAAACGTCAGAGCAGGAAAAGGTTTAGAGAAAAAGAATGAGAATAATATTTTTCTAAAGTGAGAACTTTTTTATAGAGTTAGCTAGATATTCTGAATTCTTTGCACGCGCAAGCTACACGAGCTCGTTAGAATTTTGAACAGCTTCTGCGGTTTCCTGCTACGACTCTCATACACATTCATAAGAGGTTTAATTAAATACTCAATACTCAATTTTATTAAGCAATTTATACAATTTTATACTTTGCAGTTACTATTTCATCTCTCAGTTTACGTTAGTACAAAACGTTTCAACATCGAAAATGGAGCGCAGTAAGTAAAATGATGAATGAATTTTACAGGACGCTAAAACGTCGGAAAATGCGGCAATGGTGGAAAACGTGAGGAATTTCTTCGAGCGGAAAAGCACGGAGAAGGAGACTGCAAGAAATAAGCAGAACGAAGGGAGGTTTGAAAGAATCGTAAAAGAGACGTCCAGTATTCTCGGTAAAGCATGCAGTGTCGTAAAAGGCAGTTTGGGTTTTGAAGCGAGATCGGAGAGCTCCGATCTTGGTCTCGGTTCTGAATCCGGAAGTGATTCTCGCCGGAGATCAATGGATGACGGCGTCGAAGACGATCGGCCGTCCAGAAACGCGGACACATCCTCGTCGAAAACCGGCGACGGTAAAAAGCCGCACACCAATCTTACCAGGTCGAGAAGCTGCGTGGACTCGATAGAGTGCCAGGACGACGGTCCGGAGTTCGATCACGTGCGCTACAAGATCGTTAAATCGCATATGTTCAGCAAAAACATGTTCAACACTGCCAAAGGCGACGTCACGTACGAAGGGCTGATGCAGTATCTGCGCGAGTACTCGTTCCAGGAGTTATTGATGGACAATAATGTCGTCATCATCGAGCCGGTTCGCGCCGAGGCGGTGGAACGGAAGTCGTCACCGATGGCAAGAACAGAGCCCACGTGCAAGATCGCCGGTGCGATCCAGAAGAAGATGGAGAAACGCGAGAAAAACGGCGAAGAACAGTCTGAAAGCGGCACTTCTAAAAGTTCCAAATCGACCATCAGAAAACATTTCTTTTATCATCCAATACGGGTGAATCGCGAGTTGATTGATGAAGAACTACCGGATCCGGATACGGTCCGAAACGTGAGACGCATGTTCGAGAACACGCTTGAAAAGAAGAAGAGCACGTCCGACACCGAGTTTTCCCGGGACTGCAAAAGCAGACGAAGCATTAGCATGAAGGATCTGACAAGCATCGATGATAGTCAATATGACGAAATATCTGACAAGACACGTGAGGAATCCAGGTAGTGTAATATTGAACGTCGTCGACTAACAAAGCGTCGGTGACGCTTTTAATATTTGTTAAAAAAAAACCGAAGCGTGTGTTTTAAATCGTTTATAGTTTTATCGTGTTAATTGTGATAAGTGAATGAAATAACAAGGCAGACAAAGTATTGTAGATAATTTACCGCGAAATAACATCTGGTTTAATAGAATTGCAAATTGTGAACGGAATTGAAGCGTCTGCATCTGTTAAGATAAATTGCAATTGAATTACTCCTCGCTGAAATAACAGTGTTTTCGGAATTCCATTAAAGTTGCCGATGTTATCTGCAAGTTGTTAGTTCTCACGCTGATGCATGTATAAGCCAAAAAACAATTCCCTTTATATTCTTCAAAGTGTATCGTGAAAAGCTGAAACAATAAAATGTAATTTGCCCAGGTCCAGATGTTCCAGTAGAGCGAAAGATCTCACAAGACTCTTCGAGACCAAATCGGCGTCATCGACCGCTTCCGTCACCAAAGAAGATCCTGGAAGCCCGCGAGGCGAATCGAAGACGAGAATTCTCGCGCAGACTTTCGAGGCCAGAAGCGGAAATACGTCACCGAGTGACTCCAACTGTTCGAAGAACAAGGTCGGCCGTTATCATCACCACCACCACCACCATCATCATCATCATCATCACCAAACTTGGGACTCCGGCAGCGTAAGTTCTGGCGTGTCCAGTGATTATCCCGATACCGATCCAGGAAGTGGTGCTCATTGCACGTCGTCCGATGACGAGGATGTGAATTGCAACGAAGATGACGGCACGGACAGTCCAGGGCATTACGTGTCTCAAGACGTGCTGAAGAAAATCCGCGAATACGGCACTTCGGTGACTTACTACGGTGGCAAAGTAGTCAACACCCACAACGGACCGCTAATATCGCCACTGATTGGCAACGGCTTCAAGCAAACCGATCGATCGAACGATTATGTAAAATTTAAGTTGGTGAAGAGCAACTCTTGCGACAGCAGACTAGAACTGACCGGCAGATTCGTCGAAGGACAATTGCTGCGCCATAACCGCGACAGAAGTATCGACCTGAGACAGTGCACCATCGCGGAGACACCCAGTATCGAGATCACGACGATCGACAGCAGACAAGAGGACGAGAAACAGAGAGACGAGGATGTTGAGCAGATTGAGCAAGTGAAGAGAGAACCACCGGTGGTGATTGGTCTCGAGCCAAAAAGAGAAGATTCTCAGGAAACAAAAACTACCTTCAAGGCTGAATTTAAGCTGGGCGATTTGAACGACTCGAATTCCAATTATCCAAACAGATTCAGATCGAGCGCGTTAACAAGGTGGGAAGTAAACACAAGCAATTGGAAGGTTAGCAATGATTTTGGTAAAATGGAGTTCGAGGAGTTTGAAGTGCTCGAAGATAGTCTCAACGGGATCGAAGGCCAAAACTAATACACAGACATATTGGTAGAAAAAAGTTCTTGTGTATATTTATCTCTTTTTGCAAAAAAAGATTATAACAACGATTGTTAAAGGATATATCGTGATTGTTATTTTTAATAAACGTAAGTCGTGAGAATATCTATTTTATGAAAAAAACAATTTTATTATGAAAAAATATTTATAAAGTTATTAGGATCGTGTTGTGGTTGTTTTTTGGTTGTTTCAATAATAAAAACGAACGTAATGAGAATGTTAATAGTCAAGATAATTTATTAGACTTATACGTAAATATATATATAATATCACATTAATCCGTTAGTCTATTGGAGGTGGATAAGTCCACATGAGTCATATTTTATAGCAGATGATAAACATTGATAAAGAGTGGATAAAGTTTATATATTGTAAGTATAGAAAATCCAATGTAATATTATATAATGCACAAAGCGTACACGAATGAGCGACACATACATATATGATTAAAATGCGTAATAAATAATACCATGTATTATACTACCATTAGTTTTATTAAATATCCTATATTCTCTTTGCAACTCGCGGAAAATTGTACGATCGTTAAATATTCTTCCTCAAAATTATATCATTACAATTAAAAATAAATTTAAAACAAATCTTGCAGTAATTTTTATTATATTACGTACGACGCAAAACAAATTGCGAAAAAAAACTTTGTAATTACTCCTTCACTTCTACTTAAACTTCTATCTTTAATCTGAGAATAAACAAAGTAAACTAGAAGTAAGATAAAATGTCAAAGTTATGAAAACTGGCTACGAATAGACGTTTCGTAATGTGCATCTTGGACTGACTGATATATCGGAAGATATCCAGACGACGCGACGTTATTTTCGGCATTATATATTCTCGGACCGTGTTGATTTTATCGATTCTTCTGTCGTGACTTTCATCATCAAGCCAACTTTTGAGGAACAGGTTACAGTCAAGAATGTTTAAGGTGAATTCACAGTGACAAATAGTACATATTGTCGCGGAATATTGCACGTAAAACTAGTATAATGATGGTTTAATAATTAATATTAATGGTTCTTTAATTAATATTAAAATATATAAAAGTTTTTAAACATCTGACACATTAATAAAAATATCAAAGTCAAATATTATGTCGCAGTTTATTAGAGCTAGCGCAAACCGTGATTTATTTTACAACACCACAGTCGTAAATGTGCGTCGCACTCGTAAATGAGAACCGTAAAAACTTTCGGTGAATCCAACATCAAGCGTTACCCAATTTTGCAGGCCAAGCAATATATATTGCGAGCTTTGTACAGTATAGTAAAAAGCGCGACCTCTTGGATAGTTGGTAATTTGAAGTTAGAGGAAGAAACATTACGGCGGAACACTTTCGCAAAACGTGTCCAGAAAAGAATTTGTTTTCTATTAGAGTTTTTCTTTAGTCGCGGAGCTGGAAAAACTTGCGAGTATTTCGTGATTCTGCTACATCGTCACGTAATCGCACCGCGTGATACGCCCTGTATAAGTCCTTTAGCCTTTAAGTTCGATAGCGCGAGATGTGAAGATTTAACGTTTCAGGTATAATACGATAAGAACCATTTGCATATTTTGCACGGCACAAGCTATACAATTAATGCACCAGTGCCACGAAACTGTCTCTATGTACCGAGAGAACATTAATATTTGTATATACATATTTACATATTCCTGCAAAGTAGTATTGCATGCTGTAGTGCAGGAGATTATCAAGTTATTTAACATTCAAACTTATAAAATTTTTCAGTAACGAGAACAAGACGCCATTAGATTGAAACATAAATTGTTTCACGTGTACAAATTATTTGTATTGTACACAATTTAAAAAAATACATTTTGGTTCATTACAATTTTACGTTTTTCAAGTTCGTGTTTGTCTTCCATTTTTTTGCTGGCGAGAACTTAATAGATAAATAGATAAGAACAAGTTTTTTTTTGTTTGCTTTAATCAGTCTTCCACCCTCTCTAAAAAACAACGATTTTATCTACGCTTGTTTGCTCGATTTTAATGGACTGAGGTACATATAAGGTACATATACTCACCGGATGATTCGCCGCTGTCGATCTGCATGTTTTCTGCCGTCGACGTGGTTCTCGCAGTTCTCTTTGCTTGTTTTTCCGTGGCTTTAGGCTCTTTCAGTTGCTTCATCAGAAGGGGATGTAACTTCGGCGAATAAAATCCGGTTGACAGGGAGAGGCTCCTCTGAGAGATGTGCCACCATCGTCTGCACCACGTTTCCTGAAACGTGCACCAGCAATTTCCGTTCTTACTTACGGGTTATACTTTTCTCTTTACGGACATATTGAACAAGTATGTGTGTGTGTGACGCGGAAATTTGAAAACGTATTGTCGAAATACTCGGGATCGTTAAATATAGCTAGAAGTGAACATGGTTTTTCAATTATTCCGTTTAGCGAAGCCTGTAATTATCGAAGCCCACGGGCCGGTTCAAGGCCCTTCAACGCCTCGTATCTATAGTTTATCGATTATCCAATATACCGTAGTAATAATTTATATACAAACCTTCTTCGTTAACAGACCGACGATTCACTTTAAGCCGATTAAAATGTTCGATAACGTTCATTTACTTTCAAAAATTGGTATAATTGTCTCAAAATGAAATAAAGATGTTTGCGCTCAAGGTTATATTTAAACTAACAAATTTTGTATATTCAAACATTAGATAATATGTTTAGTTTTGATATTAGAGCGATATATTGTATTGTAGCAAAATTAATGAACATTAAATATGTATTAATAATAATAAATATGTAATTAATAGTATTAAATATATCACAAACAAAGCTGCTGCACAATGAGTAATTTCCATTGTATAGAACGCGCGCTGCAATTCCATATAACAATTTTGTTTATATCCATGTCGTATCTTTTGTAAATATTTTGTCAAAAAATTATTACATCTGGTCTGGATGTCTTTGTGATTATGTATATCTTGCGCATATAAAGAGATATTCGAAAACATCAGTAAAGAAATCTCTATTTTTCGAAAACATGTACAATATTCACCCTGAGGGTGAACGCGCAATATATCGACGTTGAAAAATCCCGCGTGCTACACAGGTAACGAAGTTTGACGTGAAAGTACAATCACGCGCGGATTGCCACGCGACAACATAAATAGCAAAATGTAATTTGTGTAATGTAAATATTTACATATTACCGCATAAATTGAATTTTACATTCGATCAATTGTGATTCACGATAATGCGCCGCTTATGTTTTGCAATGTTTGTCAAAATCCGCGTATGAAACAAGATTCTCAAGAGAACGTACATATCCGTATTCTGCATTTCGATGCATCCGTTCTCCAAGGAGAATCGGTATTTTTAGATAAACGCAGGTGTGAGAAGAATCGATTTCTCAGAAGGGAAATAAATAATACATGAGAATATTCAATTCAGGGGGCTGCAAATCAAAGCGCGTTCTTCCTTTAGATTTTATCGCGAAACTTTATAGATAGTTTTTTTTTACAAAGTGTAATCATTAATTTCGCGAAAATCGTGACGATGTTTTTCACGAAAATACTGAACTGTTATCTTAAATGCTGTTAAGTAATTGATTATACATCGTAGTTATTCATGTCTCTAGACAAAAACATAATATTTTTTTCAATTGTTGCACCTTCTATATATATTACCAATTTCTCGATGCAAGATTTCTTGCAGGAAGGCTAAGCTCTTAAAATTAGATTGCCATCCAATCTGCCAGAAATTGAGCAGAAACATCATCTCGGAAGCTAATAATATTTTTTTTGCACGTGCTATTTGCCCGTCACTTGCTTCTGACACTTTGTATTGTGTACCTACTTTCTTCAATGATAAAGTGCCGTACAACAAGAAGCCAATATATATAAATAAAACTATATATATACATATAAACTGCACAGTATAAAGCAATGCTTCGTACACGTGTTATATCACAGGTTTTGTCTTTATTTCGTACGAAATGATGAACGACCTATACTTACGTGCGGAAATAAAAAAACGTGTTCACGCGAATAAATTTTCTAGCAGTCAAAAAGAAAAATGGATAAAAAAGTTCAAAAAACTACATCGATATCCTTTTATGCCTAAAAGCGTTCAACACATAACATTTTTGTGTATCCGTTTCGCGCGCGTTGTTTGCTCCAATGTCCTACTTTCTTTATTCTCTATGTCTTCTCCGCGTTACTTCCGTTGCGTTTATTCCCGACACTCCCCGTGAACTCTTGCCATCGATTCCACTGCGGCGTTCGCACGTTGCAGAAATTATGTTTGTATCGCGCGGCATCAAACTGTGACCGGACAACTTTGAAGTTTCCAAGGATTGCAATTTCTGTGCCAGCGCAGCACGTTTGGCAGCACGTAGGATATTTATTATTATCTGTATTTATCATTGTGCAGCGTTTCGACCGCATAGAGTCATTACCCATGCATAATCATTGATTTTGAATAACATTAATTTTTTAAAGTGCCGGGATGTCTATAGAGCGAGAATTGTAAATTCAATCGATATGTATGTACACACTCGGGTGTTACGTTAATGCAAATCATACCATCATTGATTGTTCAACAACTCTGGAGTATTTTTATTATCTCAAGAAAACATATTTAACGGTGCGATTGTAGAATTATTATTTTATAAAAAGAATAGAATTGTAATTGAAGAGCAAATAAAAAAGCTTGACGCAATCTAGAAATAAAAGATTTTATCAATATTTATTTTCAAAAGCGTCTTATCGTGTTTCTGGATTTATCAAGACACTCGATTCAATTTTATTTACCAAAAGGAAAATATAAGCTTTATAAATTTTTTTCACATATTCCGCTCTCCGATTCCCATCGATTGTTAAAAATGTCTACAACAAGGCGTATCCGATTTCCAGAGGTCTGAATTGAAAATATTCAATGCGAATAACTCTGATAAAATATGGCGAAGAAACACGATCGCTTTCGTGACGCAGACGAACCCCATGCACATTCGTAAGTATAGTACTTCTAATTATAATCTAAGGTTTATGAGCTTTCTCAGCGTGTGCGCATTCTACTTATATATAAATAATTGTACGATTTGGTCACCAGCCAAAATGTCAAGCAATTTTCAAGACATGCTAAGATTGTACTGATAATTCATACGGTCACAAAGAGTCCTTTGCAGTGAAAAATATATTAACTATAATAATACACAACTATAATATTACACAAATATCACACATTATCTTAAATAGCGAACAACACACAAAATTAAATAAAAAGAGAGAGAGATTATTTATATAAACAAATTTCCATCGATATTATATTATATATATTAATATAATTACACACGGATTGATTTCAATATTTTTCTGTATCAGATTTCTGGAAAGGATGTAATGTTATTTCCAAACTCTCTGAACTCTCTATACTTCAACAACTCAATGCTCGACTAGCCGGAGTGGCAACTTCTTAATTGGCAAGCACCAAACGATGAATTTCACACATGCAGTTACCGAGCGCGAATTTCCTAGCAGTATGTCCAATTCCGTATTAAATATGAGCTCGGGAATGTTGGAGGATATTAAATAACACTACGGAACGTACATATTCACTGTTGTAATCTTTCTTGTCTCATGCATTATTAATATGATCCAGTCAGTTTTCGTATTATCCGCTCGTAGAAATATTGATTGAATTTACGCGAAACTTTTATATATTTTATACGATTGATGTATTTTATATATTTATTTGCAATATTTAATTCACACACATCCGCTATTACTTAATTTCACTCTCAATTTTATTATCCATCGACTCTCGTAGGTTACGTTCAAGTTGTAATTGTGTTACAGTTTCAAAACCGGGTCATCGGTTTTCATCACGTCACGTTGAGAAAAACGTGCAACATATATATTTTTTTGTATACTGACAGCTTTTGGCAAAAGAAGCGACAGGTAATTTGCCACTATTATATCATATTACAGAATATGATGTAGGTCTATCGAGATATATTTTTTTTTTTCACGTGTGTGTGACTGACGTGAAATTGTGAGGCTATAGAAGAAGAAATGGAGTAATATAATGGCTAGGTGGAAAATTCATGACAGTGGATTTTTGCACGCACAACGAGAATCATAAAAACAAAATGATGGAAAAAGACATTTCTCTCTTTCTCTTCGAAGTACGTGTTTACGACGTAATTTTTTACATCATTAATTTTGATTCATTAATTTTTACGCAATTTAAACAGTACAATCAAACATCATTTGTCGATAATTTAATGTCGAAATATGCTTTGTCTGTGTGCGAGAGAAGCTATATAAGCGTTTCATTATTTCGCGCCCTTTCAACGTAGGTCCTTTCGATCAACATTGTCCCAACTACCATTACACGGGCTGAAAACATTTTCCGCGTCCTGTCCAGTGGACATCACCAAATAGGATCGATGGAGTGATACGGTAATGGTAAAGCCAAATGCGCGTTTGTGTTCAAAATACACGCTAGCGTTCTCTCCTGTATTAATCCGTCCACCTCTCGCGGCCTTTTCCACCCTCGATATACATATGTACGCGAGACGTGCCACAAGCGGTCTGTATATCGCGCGGATTAAATTTCACTCTTCGATTTGCTCCACAAAGCGAATCAGTACTGAGTAGCAAAAACGCGCGTTGATTTTATTTAGGTTCGCTTTGACCGTGCGTTTCGTCGAATTTCAGATTTCGCAAAAAAAATCGGATACCATGACATATCCGACTATGTCGTCGTAACATTTAGACATTTATTTTTCCACACGCCTCTATATATGTATATGCTCTCGCTCGATTTATCTCGAATAGTCCGAATGTTAGTGCTCTTGCAAATTCGAAAAACGATTTTCTGATGAAGCGAGGCGTGAAGAGAATTTAGTGACAAGTTAGTTCCCGCCGCATGCGGCTTCCGAGTACTGAAGAAATATCGACAAAGCCATTACTGGGCTAAAACTGGTGCCCTTAAGTCACTTTGTAGCTGTTAACGTTTATCAGCTGACATTACATAAAATCGCTATGTATGCAACGTTGCAGCGATTTTATCTACATAGGTATAATAATTAAAAAAACTTAATAACAGCAACCTCTGTTGCTATATATATCGGTAAGGTTTATAATATATCTTAAGAAAAAACTCTCAAAGAGGTTTACAACGCATGCAATAACAACTAGATCTCTCTACCAATATATTGACTTAAATCTTTTCTTTTCGAAACAATATTTTAGATTTATCTAA